ATAAATATTTAAATATAGAGAATATTTAGAAATTGATTTTTTCGTAATCAAGCCCATTGCACAGTTTTCACAAATAAAGTAATGTTATTGATAGCAATTATTAAAGAGAGAGAAACCCGTTTTATGGGGTCCTTTGAGTAAAAATCATTTTTATCAATAATTATACTCGCAAGCATTTGCAAATTTCAGTAAGCTGGTACTTTTTGCTTTTCTTTTTGGAAGCTACGCTGAAGCTGCATTAAGCGTAAAGTAAGTCTTGACTTTTTGAAAAGTCATTGCAATTTGTACGAACACATACTGTAGTCTGCAGCAGTATCCGTAACGCGATGCAACAATTCTTTTTGCCGTTTCACGATTCCCGTTACTGTAACAAACGATTACAAGTCAATGAAGCATCCTTGCAAGTCAAAACAGATTAGTGTGAAGAATTGAAACGTTGATTAGAAACTTGTATAGTAATTACTATTAATATCTAGATATCTACACAATATAACAACTATTAAGAAAAATGTCAATAGCATTATATAATAATTACTACTTTTTTAAATTAATAAAGTGTAACTACGAAATTCGTAGTTTGGTTATTTGCGTAATATATTTGTGCTAAGGATGCCCCACATAATATATTTAGTGTTAGATCAATAGATTTAAACTCGAGTAGGAAAATGCGCGCGCGCGCGTGATATTAATAATTTTCCTTTGATATTTCCATTGAATTCTCAATACATTTGATTAACACAAATTTTAATTATGATATCTGATATCGTATAAATATGACATTAAATTATGTTTGCGATTGAAATATGTCTCTTTATTTCTCTTGATTATATTTCTTCGCGTGTAAAGATAAATTACATTTTGGATAACAAATATGGTTTTTACTTTGATATCAATGCGTATTATAGAATATAGGAAATTTCGCGAACATTGTGTTTGGCGAAACGAACGCAAAGCTGCATTTATTCGCGCGTGTTAGTTAATCCTTTATCAATTAAACCGTTTGCCGGCGGCACGCTGATTGCGGATGCAAGGATCGACTATCATGAATCTGGGATCGGCTTTCGGAACCGGCGCGATTGAGAACTGTTAAATGCATTCGGTTCTGGTATGATAATTAAACGATTAGTCGAATTTCAAGCGGAGATCTTGTTCTGTTGTAACAATAGAGAAGAACGAAACTTTATTGCACAAATTTATTGTGACATATAGGGACATATTGGGACATATATAATAGCATTATGCAAGAAGAAATATAATAAAGTAATAATCGAATAGTAATTGCGCTTACGTCAATCGCCGAATCTATGTCACAATCCAAAATATAAAGTGCTTTAAAATATTGATTTGTCACGCTCTGATATGCTGTGATTGATGCATTGGCGTAATAAAATGTGAAAATCGCGCGCCGAGTTTTAGTTTCATTTTTAACATTTAATTTTTATTTAATGAAGCTTATAAGTGATTGCTGCAGCAATAATATTTTATTATTATTTTTTTATCATGCAATATTGTTGTGTAAATAGTATGCTGCTAACGATTAAATAAAATACATTAATTTATGCGAAATATTTAATTACATCAAATATTTAATTTGGATCAAGAGAAAATTAAAAAAAAAGCACCGTAATTTATTTCATTATTTTGATTAACGCTATATTGATGAAATAAAATAACCTGTTAGTATGAAAAACGCATTGCTATAGATGGATTATTATAAAAATACTTTTGATCAAAATATTAAATAAAAATACCGTGAAACTGTTCCGTAATCATTTTCCTAGATATCGAAAATAAAAGTTCATATTGATGTATGTACATGATACGTACGTTTCGCGTATTTCGCGTATTCTCATCATGCACTCAACGCGCTGAGCAATACAAAATAATTGCATTTGCAAATACAATGTAATTGACGCTCACATTAACGTGCGAAAAGCGTTTTGGTCAATTTTGTACATTGTGGTGGTCTTATGTCCGGTTCCACCAACGTAGATTAACTTTAATCTTGGTTCAACTTATTCTTCATCTTTTTCTAATTCTTAGAACTAGAAAAAGATGAAGAGTAAGTTGAACCGAGATTAAAATTAATCTACATTGGTGGAAATGGGTATTAACAGTTATTCAAGTTACGCTAAATGTTTGAACACTGTTTTAATATAATCAGTTCGCCGTATGATTGCATCGCTTTAAATAACTATTGCTTCCGCGAATAAACATGCGAACGCGTTTTTTTTTTATTAGCAGTTCCCGGTAATATACTTCTTGATATGAAAAAGAATATTTTTCTGGTTGTTTTTTGAATCTAGTTTTAATTTATGGTTTTTAATTGTATTTTGAAATTAATTTTTTTTTGAAACATGTGTATGTGCATCAATATGGAGAATTAATTTCGAAATACAATTTAAATATTTTAATTTGATTTTAAAATCATTATTCACTCTTTATTTGCTCTTTTCGAAATTACATCTTTTTATTGGAGATGATAGATTTTTTCATACGAGAGAAAAAACATTTCATAAACATCAAACACTTTTACTTTAATAACATGCCTTTTACTGATTATAGTTTACGAATTGATTGTTGGAATAGAGTTCATCTTCGAATTACGACTATTTTCAAAGTAATTGCATAATTCAGGATATCGCAATGTCATCTCGAACGTTTCGTTTACATTAACATCGTATAGTTATCGCAAACGCTGCTATCGTTTTGTCTCGGAGAGTTTGTTAATGTAATTTGCATTTTTACAAAAACACGTTAGTATAAAACATTTATCATTTCGCGTGAGACGGGCGCGGGATAAATTATTATCTAAGAGGTCAATCGAGTTGGAATAATGTACCGCTATAATCTATTTTACATCTGATTAAAAATTTAGGTTATTACACGCGCGGATACAATAAATTTCGCATTTACGATAATTACTTATGTAAGTTATTGTTAAATTGGCTGCAGCGTTTATGAAACTCCAGTAACTATGATTTTGATTTTGAATAATATGTTTAAGACTTGCCGCTTTAATTTAATCTTCTGCTACCATCAATCAAATACTTTCAATCATTATTTGATGTGAAAAGGTCTTTTCAGACCTCTGCAATATCGTTATCTAACATCTCCGTGCTTAAACTTTCTATTCTATCGTCTCATCCTTAATTGATATCGTTGTACCGTTGTATTTATGTTTTCACTTTTATTGATGGCTTAGCGCTTCTCTATTCATGCGTCGTTAAAAATGTAACTTTTAAAATTCTTAATAGATTTAATATGCTCATTTTTCATAGTTCAAATTGCAAATCAAAACACATGATATTTATGCAATTATGCTAAAAAAATGTAACCTCGAATTAACCGGTTTTTGGTTGGGCAAGATTAAACAGGTTAATGTGATACTGTTCCAACGATGCTAATTACGAATTCATTAAACTAACTTCTCTCAAAATAAACTTATCAAAATGAATAAATATGTATATATAACTTCATTAAAATGAAATATTCCTTGTATCTTGCTTTCGATTAATTTAAATAATAGAGCATCAAGTACATTGAAACATCAAATTATGTACATATCAAATAATTTCTATATTATTTCATCTGATTATACAAAAATGCATATTTTATAGCATATTAATTATTAATATTTATATTTAATATTAATATTAATTATTAATATTGAGTGCATTTATTAAGATGTGCAAATATTTATTATTAATATTATTTTAACATGAAATATTTAATATGATATATAATGCGAAGATATAATAATTTTATTTTTTAAACAATAGTATAGAATAAATTTAGCTGAAAATGCAATTTTGTTTTAGTGGACGTATATCTTATTTTTTTTAACGACATTACTATCGCGGTTTTCGTATATACATTTTTTTTTGTAATAAAATATTTCTGTAAGCTTGTGAAATATTCGGTAAATATTCAGCGTCTTGGCGGTATCAAGATTGATATCGGGATCGACTTACGGAAATTGGTTGCTGTGTTTGCGACGTTACCGATACCGCCCAGTAGGGCGGAGGGCAAGGGCTCTGTAGCCGACGTATGCTCTACCGCTACCTCGACAGCGAGGACGATGCACATCATCGTCAAAACCCGACTCGTTGCGTGGCACTTCATCGTTCGCGTGTGACAGCTTCGTGTAGACAAGATCGCCGCGGAAAATGCGGAAAAGAGGCCGATCGACCAGCTCTCGCGGGAGCAGGAAGGCTGACTGACAAGATGAAAAACCGTCGTTGCGTCGGTAGACTTTGCTGCTGAACGAACAGCTAGCTCGATACTGCTTACACGTGTGTAGAAGTGCGAGTACGTCCAGCGAAAGTGAACGTTCCTACACGCGCGTCACATTACACGCTCCACTCGGTTTGTCGCGCCGAAATGCGATCCGGTGGTCGCTCTGGGCAAGGCAGATTTCTATTGTCGAAGGATCAGTTGTTGTTAGAGGCGCTGTTAAAATTTCCTATTGCCGCGTGAGCATCAGGGCAACATTTTTTAGTGATCTTTTTTTGGGCAATCTAATTCTTGTTTGTTTATCCGAAAATTGAACTCATTTGGAAATCAAGTTAAATTAAATATTGGATTAAATAAAAAATTCAATTAAGTATAACTTGGAATACATGTAGACTGTATATACATGTTTTTTACAAAATTTGATAAAAATAATTTTTGTTTTTTATTTTTATGTTTTTTATTCTATCTGTAAAAAAATAAATACGTATTGATACGCGCTATGAGTCGAGGTCACTTTATCAATATTTACAAAAGATGCATGATTCATCATGAATCAATCAAGTTTGTTAGTTGACGTATCCTAGTGCAAATACGTGATTAAGTGATATACTTTTTTTCCTCTTGCATATTATTACTGATAGTCTGTTTCAAGAATTGCAATAATAAAAATGATTAGATTAATATTAATCAAGTCGCATAAACGTTCTTCTTGCATTCGTTACTCAGCATTTAAGCGTACTCACATCTGGATGAGAAATGCGGATACGCTTCCACGCGATGTAAATTATTCCGCGCGACACACGTGAATAGAGATCTATTATTAACGCATTCACGTGTTACGGATATCAAAGATCACGCCAATTCACCGTGTACATATAAAATGTGCAGCGAAAGTGAAGGCTATGCATACTTTATGACACGTTATGATCTATTACATAAAATAAAAATTTAATAAATTTGCAAAGTAAAGATCTGTTATTGTTAGCAATTTGTTTGAAATGTCAATATGAGCAATTTATTTGTTACATATTGGATATGAATTCAAAATGGTGATGAACAAATATAAAATGCTTAAATATTTAAATAACATTGGAAAAATATAAAATAACGAAATCTATCGTTATTACCTTTTATCTTTAAAAATTGTGTTTTTACACCGACCTTGCACTTGTATTATTATTGACATTACGTTGCAACTTCACCGCGAAAACATTTTTATTGTGCAAAAGAATCACCGACCGTCACGCTGCGAGCTCACAAACTGCGTTATTTTCTTTTTTTTTCCGTACTGCTGTTGGGTAACATTTTTGTTTGCCGCTTCCGTGTGTATTATTACGACATGTAATTGGATTAACGAACTGTATCGGATTCAGATTCGCTTCTCTATGAATGCAAACAATTGTCACTTTCGGGCTATAACAATGACTAAAAATCTAACCATGACAAAGCGAGTGTGATGCAACACGAGTTCTGAATAAAAACAGTGTGCTACATAGCACAATGTAATTTTCATTAATTTTCTCGAAGTTATTTCTGATATGTAAACAAATTAATTGTTTATTCTTTGACTTAAACATCCGGCCGCTTATTACGATTTTTAATTAGTAATTAAATTGTAAATTTTTAAAAATATTTGGAAATTTATTTAAGCTTATTATGTGTACTGAATGAAAAAGTAATGTCAAGTATATCATTCAACTAGAGAAACGCAAGACGAAGAAATAAATTAGATCTTCACTTAATGATGCAACTTTTAAATTGACGTAACGTTATTGTTTTGTAATCTGTGGTTTAATCGGTATAATGAAGAAATTAAATCGAACTATAGAATTTCTGCAATCGGGTTCAAAATAAGATCGCTCAGTTGTTTTTATGGCCGTGAGTTCTCAGATTAACATTGTATAATCGGGTCACACGGACGCGGAAATGCGTGGAAGTGGCTGCATACTCGGCCGTCGGCGCGATAAATGTGTAAGGTAAATTACCACAATAGACGTCACGGAGATGTCGGAAAAACGAGAGCGTAAAAAGTACTTTACTTGTTGCGCGACTTTACGTGCGCGGTACTACGTGACGGGCATTGTTATCGGCCGATCAGCATAGCGGCTTGTGTGGCTCTCCATCTCGAATAAGCATCTTCATAGCATCGTAACGAGGAATTATGCGATGAGCCAAAAGTCGTTACCTTGGAAAGACAAATGCACATGCTTTTAGATATTATAGATAAAATCATCGTCCATTGTCGGTGTACAATCCAATTTTTTCTTATGAAATGCTGCCACTATGATGACAAAGATTTTTTAAATTTAAATTTAGGATGTAATACTAATTACAAATTAATACTAATTACAAATTAATTATTAAAAATAATGAAGTTATCGATAGAAATTTAAGAAATGTATTTATTGGTACATACATAAAATATATATTGATTCATAATTAATTAGTGAACTATATATATTCCAGAGTTAAAACTTTCTTTGATTCTTCTTATAGTATTTATTTTTCTATTTACGAGAGTAAATGTATAACAAGACGCATTTACACTTTATTAAAGTGTAGTATAAAAATAAGTCTATTAATAATCTTTAAAATGTAAACATATGCATAAATCCACGTACTTATATGTTAATCAGAATGAAAATATTAACAATCTTACGTTGAACATTTGTCGCGAATTCGTCGTATTATTCGTCGTATTATTCATCATTAGTAAGCAATTGCGATGACAATTTACCTACCAATTGTTTGTCAAATTATCCATGTTAATTACATGTTTACGACGGCGATTTTGAAGTAAAAAAAGAACATGCTTACTAGCTAGATTATTATTGTGATGACATTGCAATATTGACGAGTTCTCAATTGAAACAAAGACGTTTTGAAGTCAGCCTTGCAGCATACTCTTCCGAAAGTTGTGGAACAAAAGTAACTTTTATCGCGGCGATCGGATATCGTTGATTAGTGTCCAGGCTGTAGCGTGGTAGGTTTCGGATAGACCCATGGGTTTGGTGCATAAGGTGGCCTTTGGGGTATCGGGTATACCGTAATGGCTCCGGATGCAACTGTCCTGGGAGTCGGTATCGCGTGCGCGAATGCTACGAGAGCCATTAAGACTGCCGTAACAACGATAACGACTTTTCTCAGTGAGACCTGGAAGTGGAGATGCATCGTTCGTGGTGAAATATGATACGTCACTTTTAATGGCGATTTAAAATCTCGGGAGAGAGTGAGAGAGCCAGTTTTACTTATTGCAATTTAATTTACTGAATGTGGTAATATATATCAAAAGCATATTTCTTTTCTATATCACCGATCTTAATTATTGCTGTTGGCCACTTTTAATAGAAATAATATAAATTATTGCTGATGTATATTTGCACATATTTTCATAGACCAAAAAGTAATTTTGTTATTTTTTTTAATCACTGTAATTATATGAAAGCTATTCATGTTTGAATATTTTCTAATTTAACGAAAAGTTTAAATTATGATCTGGTTTAACTAGTTTTGCCTGTTTTTCTGCTAGTCAAAGTGTGATTAAAGTAATATTTTTGACACGGCTTTCGTACTTTGTTCCATTGCGTGTGTAAACATCGAGACACAAATTTGTTTTCCAGACATCTTAATAGTGAACTTTTACCACTCTTACCGATCGTCTAAATTGCTACTCGCCAATACGGGATAAAAAGTACCGCGGACAGAACTTTCTCTAAGATTATTTGAACTATGCAAACAGTTAGCCTGAGGGATAAATAAATCAAGAGGTATACATGCAATATGTGTATCTTCATATTCAACTGAATTGCATTACAATTGCAAATATCTATCGTGAATTTGAATTGCCATTACTAAACCACGATCATTAATTATCGTCGTTCCCAGAAAATGTTTCAGATCGGAACGATAAATCCGTTTTCATTGAAATATTGTATGCAGTATGAAAATGATAACACAATCAATGAGAGATTTTATGTTAAATTTGAATAATGAACGATTGAAAGAACGAAACAAAGCACAGTAAAATATTAAGTTACTTCTTTCTCTGGAATTTTATAATGCTGTCCATTTTTCATTTAAATGAACATAATTATGAAATAGCCCGTGGATAGAACTTGTTTTAATTTTTCGCTAAAAAGACAAGCATATTCGAAGAAAAATAACTTACGCAATGCGTCAAGCATAAATTGCAATTATTATTATGCTATATTGTTATACTGTTATTAAAGAAATCACATTTTCGTGCGAAAATATAATAACTTAACTAAAATAATAACGGATATACAATTTAATTTTTTCTCGTACGGTTTATTACCGTCGGTAAGGTCCACGGCAAGAATGTTCAGCAGTTACTTGTTCGAATGCAGAAATTGTCAGCGTGTAATTTACGTTGAAATCAACCGCGCACCCGGAAAGCAAAAACCGAGAGATCTTATTTAATTCGCAAATAACTTCAGTGGAAACCAGCAATTGACAATCGATTTAGCAACTTGAATAATGCATCGCTCGGACTTTATTGTTTCTATTGTTAACTTATTGCCATTGTGATCATCACTGTGATTTTCCGCGTAAAATTCACACGATTTCGATTCAAAATTATTAAGTAGATAGATCGAGGATAAAAAAAACAGTTTGAAAGTTATGCTGGAAGCGTTGTGACACGGATTGACACGGATTATGAGACATACATCGGAATTAATTGTATTTTTACTTTTTATATTGCTTTAACGTATAACATTATTTCCCTTCGAATCTACCTAACTTTTAAACTTATTAACAACGTATTGTAGACGATACATTTTAAGCTAGTTTAATGAAACTTAGTTTTTCTCCACTTTTACATATCAATTTTTTATGTTTAAAATTAAAACGGAGTATTTAGTAAAAATATTAAATTTTTTAATGAAAAGTTTCAGCATTGTACAAATTATATTGTTTATGTTTCTTTTAAAATTTATTTTTGGCAAAATTCTACTAATGAGACGTAGTTTATCGCAAAAAGATAATATTTGTTTTTTGTATACCGTGTATTACCATATTATCGGAGATCTCGGATGTTTTTTGGCGATGCGATGCTCGAGGCGAACAGTACGTATCTTCAAACGCTGGCAGACTTTTTATACCGGCGGGATTTGAGAGGTGGATATTTGGGTCAGGATACGTAGGAAGTGATATCGCCCGTATATCACGCATGTACAAGAAATTCCCGTTCAAAGATGAGCAGATGTTCGTTTTCATTCATGCCAGTTCCTACTGCATTCAGTTACATAAAGATGCGCTTCAGTGCATAAATCGTGAGGAAAATAGGATTAAAACCGTCAGAGAATTAATCCCTAATTCTATTATATATGATAATGTTAGCGTCTGTTAGATAACGCAGCTATAATTATTGTATAGCTATAATTGTCATGATTACAATTATGATTATAATTATTGAGAATAGATATATATAATTATTGAATAAATATAATTATTTTGACGCATAGAAAGTAGACAAAATTAACCAATATAATGTATAAATACAAAATAGAAGTTTTTTTTTCAAATTGCACAATAATTAATTACAAATTTTATAACGTTTTTAATATGATAATATTAATATTTTAATTAGTAGACGTAAAATGATCATCTTATCGATTGTATTTAAAACTTCAAAAATGCCGCTGAAATATAAATATGCCGTAATAATCGTTTCCCGGGTTTTGTTGAACGAATGAATTATTTAGATTGTACAAATACATTTTAATTTAATATTGTTGTTCTTAGAATTCAGTTCTTAGAGGACAATTCTTTGCACCGAAAATTCTATTCGATAAACAATTAGCCAATAGACCTTGACATGCTTGCGCTCTGCACATGCAGAATACTAATAGATGTCGTGGCTTTTCTAGAATCGTCGCTAAACATTGTGTAAATGTAAATCACAATTTCGAAAACCAGTCCCGCCGGTGTTGCTGTCATACTGTTAATAATAGATCTTTTGATGAAGTTAAAATCAGTCTTATTTTGTATTTTATGATAGGATTATTGATGTAGGAAGATATTTAAAATTTAAAAGTTATTGATTTTTAATGCAAATTAAATATTTAATTTGTAGATTGATGATGAAATATTATTTTCCAATTAATTGTAAATAAACTTTATTTTACAAACTTTATACAAAATTCAATCAACGAGACATTTAATATTGAAGACGTAAAAGTTGTGACGAATAAATTCTCATTAAATCATTATTTAGCGAGAAATTTTATTTTTTACTTAATTTTATTTAATATTCGAGAATATTCATAAATACGTATGTATCAGGATATTTTACATACATAAGAAACATGGTATGTTCACGGAAATGTTAGCACTACTAATACTCCTTTTAAGCCATGTGTGCTTTGATCTTTGACCAGTGAGTTTAATCGTGCTAATGTATTTAGTTTGCACATCATGTGCGTCATCGTGATGCTAACGAATTTTTTGTACGTGACTTTTAATCGCGATCGTTGATTCATCAAATTAATAAGTAGAACGACGTTATCTACATTTACGTGTAAAAAACTGAATTGCCATCGTCAATCGCGAACACTAAAAAATTTTGCATATGATTTACTTTTTTATATTTCTCGATAAGCGAAGGTGATTGAGGAAAAGAAACATGTAAGATTATTCATCAATTATAATAACAGAAGTTAGATTTACAAGTTTATTTATAAGTAGTGTAATACAATCTAATGATATAAACGTTCAAATATATATTTATCATTATCGTATAAAAATCTTAAAAAATCTTAATAAATTTAATAATATAATTGTAAAGTAATAAATTTTAATGATATGCTAATATTTCAACAATCTAGACATTGTATTACAAATACGTATCATTAATCAGTCTATATTCTCGTTTCAGCAATTAATGCTTTTCATTTAGGATTATTTTTTAACAAGATATATAAAAGATTATTTTGTATAAAAAATATTAGCTAATATTATAGTGATATAAACAATTTTATTTCGCGTTTGTTACGTATATACGTTTCCTACTTGTATAGAATTATTTTGTTATATTTTAAATACTTACAAGTCTTTATATCAAATGGAAATGAATACTATAACTGCTATTTATTTATGAACGTGTTGAAAGTTTTTTAATATGTTTATTTTATTATTAATTTGTCGATGTTATTCGACATTATTCGACGAGCTGGTCTCTGAAGTATCTAAAGTAGTTGGCAAAGATGGAGCTACAACCTCGTCATTGGTGTCTTGTTGCTCCGTTTCATGTTTAGACCACGACGTAAAGTGGATTACTCTAAAGAGATAACAGCACGTTAGAATTTGAAGATTCGAGTTTAATAAAACAAAGCAACGTAACTCTTTAATGCGTTTTTTTTTTTAAATTGAGATAAGAAATAATTATGTATGAAAAAAAAATTAAAATTTACTTACAAGATAAGCAGAAGCACGGCAATTTGTGTGGAGAACGTTAACCAATAAAAAGAGTTTGGTGCTGTCTTTATCGTAGCGTTGTAAAGTTGAGAGTACAAAGTACCACTGAATAATGGAACTGCATTGTCGCATACGGAAAGCATCGCGAATACCTTTCCTGAGGATTGCAAAAAATCATTTTTTTTATTCTGATAATAAAGAAAAATTGTCATAAAATTGAAACTATACATATTTTACGAATTTAAATTTCAACATTTTGTATCCTAAATTGATACGAAAACATGAACATGATATTCTAGAAAATCTAACATTGACACAAAATACACATTTTTCTCGATTATAGTATCAAATATTGAAAATATATTTGTACCAATTTATCAGATTAAATCGGTATCAATCTATAAGCAAGATAAAATTACTATTGTTACCTCGTTCTTCTGTGGGTACAAGTTTAGAAGTCATTGATCTGAGTACAGGAGCTACTATAGGACCTAACGCAGCAACTGCACCACCTGCGGAATAATTAGTATTGAATTATTTTTTAATTATTTTATTATTTAGAATATAAATACGAGATTAGAAAAGATACAAAAATTGTGTCACTAACCTACATAGAATAGCTCCGGTTTATTTGCCAAAATAAATACTATTCTTCCGGCTGCATGCGCTATTGCTCCTATCGCTACCATGAAAGTGTCTTTCATCTTCAATAATTTACTCATGATAGGCACACCAATGAGCATTGCTGTTGAAAGAAAGTTATTTTAAATATGTCTTTTTGTATTTTTTTTAAATATTTGTTATTTGTAAACTTTATGATATATATATTATATACATATAAATTTGAATTTATACTAAGTATTCTCATAATCGATATGATAAAGAATACGGATATATTTAAAAAATTTAGATATTTAAAATTAACATGTGAGAGAATGGCTATACAATTTTCGAATTCGATTCAATAATACATGAAGCATATTTCTTTAGATGAAAAATTATTTTTAAGTCAGTGTTTTTTATTCAAGCAGTTTCAATTTTGTCCAAGGTCGTAATTTTTTTATTGCCATTGGCCAAGATGCTAAATTGGTCGGGAGAGAAAGTTCTTGATCTCAATAAGAAGTGTATCCTTTCACTTGCGTCTCTCAAAACACATCGCGAATTGAGACTGGACGTCGTTAATATTTGTGAACTGTCAATAACTGGTTTTAATTAAGTTTAATCAAACTGACCTAATACAAATAGAGTCGATTTGAATGTTTTGAAATTGCTAAAGTCTGCAACGTTCCATTTGAAGATCAGAGAGGTATACATCTGGCTTTTAGGATTTTCGTCTCTCTGGAATGTGTAAAGACACATTGCTAGCAAGAGAAACCACAAGTGCAATTTGCCATGATGAAGTCTCGATTTCACCAACGTTCGCACTGTCGTGATGACATGTCGCATGTCAAAAAAATCTAGTAGCCAATTAGTCCCAACGAGCGGCTGCTGTTGCGATGACGTTCGCCATTTGAGCCGCATAAACGAGTATATAATCGCAAGCGCGAGCAAAGTCGCGTTTATGGCGAACATGAACGTATAAGCTTTACCATTCAGTAAAAATTGATTAAATACGTAAGATCCAAGTGCGACTCCTGCAAAAAAGAAAGAGTGATTGGTGATGTAACATTACATCTTTTAATTTACAAAAGAAATTTATATTATTCGTAAAAAGAAAATAACAATATTATCGACAATCATTAAAGATTTATCACATTATTATCGAATACTGATGAAACAAAAATTTTACAGTAAATGTAGTATTTTTTTACGTTATTGAGAACAAACAGATTAAATTTTATTACCTGTAGGCATAGTGCTTAGATAAACAACATCTAGAATTGTTATCCTCAAGGTTCTCTGCTCCACAGAGGATATATCCGATAGATATGCGAAACAACTGGCAAAGATTGCAACATCGCCGCCAAATATGCTCATTGGCAAGGTGGCTGTGTACACCACCATGTTCAGTTTCCAAGTGTCCATTATGGAATTAATCACGATCATAAAAGAATAAACTAATTTGCCTACCAGGCCGAGGATAAGCGGCAATTTGCGTCCGCGCCGGTCGCTCCAGTTACCATAGAACATTGCTAAGATAATGGGCAGTACGTGCCCAGCGATATCGTTCCATTGATGAAATTCCGAAACTGTTATCTGCAACATGAATTTTTTTTTAACGGAGTACAATTGGGGCAAAAGTGGAAATCAATTATTATTTTAGCCTTAGAGCATAAAAAATGATATTTTAAAAGCAGAAAATAAAAGACGATTGAATATCATGCATTTGGAGAAAAATTATTCGAAAAACTAACAGAGCTAAGCTTAGAAAATTAGTTACTAATTTAATTATTTAATTTGTTTTATCTGAAACAGTTTGAAACATAACGAGCAACCTCATAATTCGTTAATTAGATTGTTTCATAGATATTTTATTTAATATTCTGGTTCAAATAAATAAGTTTTAATGAAATGGAGATACTTTTACGAACACAAGTTGATGCGAGGAGATGTGTTTAAATATGTTTACTTTAGTAGGTTTATTAAAATTTGCGTTCTATATATAAGCAACTTTGTTTCGTATCTCATGCAAATATTTAACTTGAAAATTACCTTGATAACACTATATCTGCTGATTATCTATACTTCAATCAAGAAGCTTACTTCTGACATTGTATTCTCATTATCGCGAGTAGAATATTGGATGTAAAATAATCATATGTGTGCATGTAAATACTGTAAATTATCAATTTATTAAGCTGAATATTTAAACGAGATAGGCAAACACAGTCAAGGTTAATCTTACAAGCCGCTTCGTTTATGTTATTGCTTCGTCATTTTTTAATAACGCGGATCCTACTCCATTTTTTTCTTTTTTTCTCTTCTCTCTCTCTTTCTCTCAAATACTATGTAATTTTTACCTGCACTGCGGTTTTTATAGCCTTATTATCATCGTCGTTTAATCTTGAGCAGATTTCTGCCGAATATCCGTGATCGACCCGACATGCTTTATGTCTAAAAAAATCTTGTTCGACAACCGAAGTGAACATGAACGCCATCATGTAGAACCACATGGTCGGCTCCACTGATATGTGTTTTATCCATGTGAAATATTTTCTGTATCTGCTATTTTCATGAAACTGTATTTGTGGCATTGCCTAGAAATGAAAAAAATTAAATTATAATGTAATCTGGCATTTTGTTATTACCCGAGAAAAAATGGTATAATTGGTCAGATATAAATATATATAATTAGTTATGAAAAGATCTCATAACATATGTAATTTTATATGATCATATAAAATATTACATGTTATCAGATCTTTTCATAACTAATTATATATTTACATCTGATCATTAGCGGATCCTGATGTCGATAATAGGGGGGTTTTGACCTGCTTTAATGCATTTTTACC